GGAAACGTGCCGCTGCTGATGTTTCTGCCGGGGCTCCTGCTGCTGCTGTTCGTGACGGTATCTTGAAATCCAAGATGGGCGGGCAGAGTGCCACAGGAATGGGAGGAGGATCCTGTGAGGCAGGAGGAGGGGGGGGAGCGGTGGGAGGAGGGAGGGGAGCAGAGCAGGGGCGGGGGGGTGTTGGGGGAGGAGCGGGCGGGTGGTTTGGCAGGCTGGGTGGATATCTGATGCGACGCACTGCTGCTGCTGCTGCCACTGCTGGTCAGGCTGGTCCTGCTGCTGCTGCTGCTGCTGGCGTTGAAAATCCTGTCGCTGCTCTTGCTGCTGCCAGTGGTGGTGGTAGTGGTGGTGCTGCTGGAAATGCCGCTGCTGGTGCAACTGGCGGGGCTTGTGTAGCAAGATCAGGAGATAGGAGGAAGAGCGCGAGTGAGAAGGAGAGTGAGAAGGAGAGGGAGAGCGAGGGGGGAAGTGAGAGTGAGGGGGACTCGGATGAGGAGGAAGAGAGTGTGGTGGGACTGCTTTGGCCAGGCACGGACAAGCAGAGGCCAGTGCGAGGGGGCGATGCTGTGAGTGCCATTCTCTTCCTTCCCTCAACCCACCTCCGAACTCCCTGTCTAGCCTCACTGCCTTCCCAGCGATTCTTCCACCCATCTCTGCTGCATACGCTTTTCCCTTTTCTGCCATCTCGCAACATATGCTTTTCCCTTTTCTTTCATCTCCTTTCTCTGGTTTCTAGGGTTCCATGCGTCCACTCTTATAAGCTCCCCTCCAACACAACCCCCTCAACCCCACAGATCCGTTGCATCTGCCTGGGCCGCTATCGGAATGGGGTAGATCTTCCCCTCTCCTCCTGTACTTGTCCCCTTCTCTTCTGTTTCCCCCACCAAACTGCACCACACCGCACCACACCCCACTCCACCCCTCCCCTCCCCACAGCTCTGTTGCATCTGCCTGGGCCTGGGCCGCTATCAGTAGATCTTCCCCTCTCCTGTATTTATCCCCTTCTCTTCTGTTTCCCCCACCGAACTGCACCACACCGGACCACACCCCACTCCACCCCTCCCCTCCCCACAGCTCTGTTGCATCTGCCTGGGCCTGGGCCACTATCAGATCTTCCCCTCTCCTCCTGTACTTATCCCCTTCTGTTGCGTCTCCCCACCCCACCCTACCCCACCCCACCCCACCGCACCCCATCCCCCTCCACCCCTCCCCACAGCTCTGCTGCATCTGCCTGGGTCGCTATCGGGACGGGGTGGACCTTCGAGAGCTGCCCTGCAGCCACCACTTCCACCTATCCTGCGTTGACACGTGGCTCAAGATCAACTCCTCCTGCCCGCTCTGCAAGGAGGACATCGCAAGCCGCCCGAGACTCGAGGATGATGGTGAGAAGTGAGCTGTAACGAGGTGTGACCATAACTGGATGAGACTTAAGCGGGGTATGGGCAGGGCCAAATTGTGGGTGTTGCAACTCGTGAGTCGTGACCTCTCTTGTCCCCCTTCAGTACCATGCACTGTCTCCACTGCCTCCCATGCATCCATCCATCTAACCTCTTTTTTTGCCTCTCCCCCCACCTTGCATTTCAACCCTTCCTCCACCTGCCCCTCTGTCCAAACCATGCCACGTGCTATGATAAGGAAGAACACCACGTGTCAGCTGCCAGCTCAGCTTTTGCTTGACAAGGGCTTGTTCCTCGCTGTACCTCGACCACCAACCCCCCTCCTGGTTTTTGAGAATTCTAAAAAACCAGCTCAGCTTTTGTTTGACATGGGCCTGTTCATTGCTGTACATCCACCACCAACTCCTTCCCTTCATCCCCTCCCTTACATCTTACCGGCATTTCCCCTGCCCTCCAATCTCGTCTTGCCACGTGTCAGCTGCAAGCATCCCTGTGGCACCCTTTGTTTGACATGGGCCTACAAGGGCCTACTCTTTGCAGACGTGGAGGGATACGCCATGTGCCACGCCACGCGATTAACTATGGGATGGGATTGCAAGAGGAATCACCGGGTCCTGTATTTCTTAGTTGATTGTACTTCCATCAGGAAGCAGCTCATTTCGAGCTGCTGCTGCAGTAGTGCAGCAGAAATGCTTTGGTAGCTTGGGAGGGTTGACTTGGAGGTGTGGGAGTGTTTCTGGAATGAGAAGGGACATGCACAGTGCGCCTCTGTAATATGTCTTGACTTGTTGGAAGGGCACTGCTTGTGCTTTGTCTGTGGGTGTATTGTGCACTTGACATCAAATGTTTTGATGCACAAAAAAACAAGGATTACGGCACCGACAATCACAACTACTATTAAGGTGTTCATGCATCTCAAGTGGGCGATGTTCATGTGAGTGGCCTCTAAGCACTCATACTGTAGTGTGTGGGCGTTTAAGAGGGGTATCAAGTAGGAGGATGAGGATGCTGCATAATCTGCCAATCTCAAAACTCATTTTCCCTGGCTCATTATCGGTGTTTCTTGACACAACATGCAGTTTCCGCACCTGCTCCTCCCATCCTATCCGCATACGTTCAAGTCAACCATCATCACCGATACTACAATCTAAATGCATGAAAACAACACCATCGCCAAATGTGACGAGAAGATTTGGTATGCAACAGGTTGCATAGATACACCTAGTCTGCTTTATTATTTCAAAGCGGCTAAAAGAATGTCACGTCACATTTCAGCAAACTTCGAATCCAGCCCTACCGATTTTTATTACGCTGCTTCTAGACCGCTTCCAGCACCGTGTTTCCCGGTTGCCCACATTATCACGTTACGTATGTTATCCCCATCCCAACCGTAACTTCTACACCGCTTTTCAACCCGTCCTTACGCGAATCCGAAATTCGTCTTCGAGATGTAGTTTACGGCCTGGACCCAGTTAGGAGGCAGCGCGTTCCAGATGACGAGCGAGGCGTTGTCGTTGCGCGAAAAGAGGCGGAACGAAAGCGACTTGCCCGTCATCTTCTGCCCGGAAAACGTCCAGACCGACCCGTAGGATCGAACCATGGGCTGGAATGGGCCGCGGTTTAGCGAGAGGTCGACCCGGCGCAGATCGCCCGATCCCGCGACATTCTTGATCAAAGCTGCAATAATGAATATGAATAGACGCGACGGGAGTAGGAGAATGTGAATGGAGAGCATGACGAAACTGAGCTGGATAGTTTCGGCTTGCTTTGATGGGGCTTGCCGAAACGATCGCGGGCTCAAGCGGCCGCGGAGCAGAATAGGAAACGCAATGAGATATGGGCAAATTGCATGCAAGAAACCGCGAGGAGGTTTCTGATGGACCACAAACAGCCGCGGCTAACCGCTGCTAGCTTAAGCTAGCGCAGATGCAAGCTTAAGCTAGCCAGGAAGAACTCATAGACACACAACGAAGAACTTTTAAGCATCTGTCGTGATATGAGCTAAGCTATCATTGGGAGTAAAGGAGTGCGAGTGTGCTAAAATGCGATTTGCGAAAAGGCTGTTTTCTCACCTTCAATGTAGTACGGGTTTCCGGTTACGTTGAACACGATCCCTCGCTTCCGCTGGCACAGCACGCGCTTCACTATAACGGGTACAACCCCAACGTTCGGATTCGTCGCAATCATGTTCCACGTTGTTGGCGCGAGCGACAAACTCATCTTGTTTCCGTCGCACCAACCCCCTGACGACAACGGCGGGCAAAGGTTGCTAACGGTGACCATCGGCGACACGCCGGGTTTGCAGAGCGGGCTGTTGACGCACTTAACGCGTAGGCACGCGCCGCACAACAACCCGGACTGGTAGAGCGACGCGGAGGCCGACGCGGTGAACACGCCGAATCCAGACTGCTGCGCAGTGCCGTACCCGCAAGATCCGCCGTCGCCCTGTCCGCCGTAGTACGTGGCTGTGAATCCCTTAGCCCACGTTTCGTATTTGCCGCCGCTGGCTTGTGGGAAAGCGGCGAAAGTAGCGAGGGTGAGAACGAGTGCGAGCGTCATAAATCTCCAAGCCATGGTGCGGATTCGACAAAGAAATATCTGAAGCTTGCAGCTGCTAAAACTCAAACCGTATGTGCTAAACAATCGTCACCACCTCAAGCTCTACGCGCTCAGAAGTCCTGCTTATTGTTCTGCCTGGTATTTGCTATCCTTTTCTCAATAAGAAATAACCAGAAGAATTTGGAGTATGGGTCGTCGTCAGCTAGTGGTCGGCGGCCCTTACTGAGTGTAGAAGAGGGAAACGAAACTACGGCGGAGCACCAAGAGCAAGAGAGGAAGAGAAGGGCTCAACAGATAAGAAAGAGGAGGGAGCGGCGTTGGCTACTTGCAGTCACATGAAATGTCGCTTGTGACGCGCCGCTGATACACATTCCGCCTCGCCTTGGGAATTTTCAAGATGGGGAATGGGATGTGAGAAATGTGGGTGACCGAGTCGCGTGTCACGACGAGGGAAACTCCTCGCGCCGTCGCGCAAGACGGGCCAACATGGTGACTTTCGCAAAGCGGCTCGTCCGCCATGCTACGTGTGTCACGTCCAGGCTTGGTGTTGCCGAACGAGGCTTGTCCGGAAGTCGGGGTGCTTTGGAAAAGGTCTTGTTTTGCCGAATGACTGGTTTGTGCTCGAGAGACGTGCCTCGTATGTCTCCCGTGACTGACCAGAGCAGGTCACGAACCTGACTTTGGTCAGTTTGGCTTGTCGCGGAACCTCCACCGTGGTAAGTTGCTTTTTAGTTCTGTCCTCCACGTATTGCACCTCATTACAGTAAAGGCTGTTGGCCAATCTTCTCTAAATAATTCATTCATGTATATTTTCGTTTTTCCATACCCTTGTTTTGTTAGTGACAGTAGTGCCAAGGTCCCAAACTAGCTTATGGGCAAAACATTCTGGTGAAATAATCACCACCATTGCTGAAGCAATTTGGTTAGTGCTTCGTTACATATCAACACATTCGAATTGACTAAAACTATCATGGCTAGCTTGTTAGGAACATCTGACATGGCAAAAAAATGCCCTTGTTTCTTTTCTAAACACGCCCACCACGCTCAGACTAGGCCATTTCGTGAGTCTTGGCCATCTGCCTCCTTGCCAGTGTAGATTAGAGATACCTGCATTTGACCACAAAAGAAAACACAACAGTAGCAGCTTAGAAATACAGCTGCCAATACAGTTTCTGTGTCAGTAGCACAATAGCTTGAGCAACCATGACTGGCACATGTGAACCACCCTTTTCCCAAGAACCCAACCCATTACATCACGTAAAACCTCTCAAGCACTTGTCCTACCCGTGAGTTGGTAACATGTGAGCCATATGTTGTCTCAGTCATGATAGTAGTAGTGGTCTGCCCTTTAGGTGGCCTATCAGTACCACCAGCTATAGGATTTTCTCCACTTGTTCTGACACGTCCTCAACAACACTCCCACCTAAATACTCTCCCCCCTTTTATCATCTCCCAAACCTGAGGTGGCGTTTGAGGCACCTATGAGATTGGTTGAACAACACTCACCAGCGAAGTTCTCCATGGTGATGGTCATGCTATCATTGCATGGCTGACCGCCCTCTTAATTCCTTCTACCTTAACAGCTTCTCCCAAGCTTAAAATCACCTTCAAAGAGTTCACCTGGAAGCTATCTCTAGTGATGGGCATGGTGTCAGCGGTTGGGGCTAACTGCCCTTTTGATTCCACCAACACAGCCCCCCCCGTTGAAAGATCGTTTCCAAAACTCTCACCTGAGAACAGTCTCTGGTGATGGTAAGCCCTTGTAATGGCTTTTGAAGGTGGTACACGTATGAGAAGTACCTGGAGGCGAAGAGGAAAGCCATGTACCTGGGGGTAATGGCTTTTGAGGCGCCTCCATGGTTATGGCCTTTGCTGCGCCCAGTGATGGTCATGGTGTAGTGGTGATGGTCATGGTGTCAGTGGTGATGGTCATGGTGTCAGTGGTGATGGTCATGGTGTCAGTGGTGATGGTCATGGTGTCAGTGGTGATGGTCATGGTGTCAGTGGTGCCTAGCTGCTCTATTATTTCCATTTGTACAGCTTCCCTTTCCTTTTAAAATGTTTCCAAAACACTCACCTGGGAGCCGTCTCTTGTGATGGTCATGGTGCCAGTGTTGGGACCAGCTGCCCTGCTTAATCCACCTACACAGCCTTCCCCTTGTCTTCTATCTTCTCAACACCCACTCACCTGGGAGCCGTCTCTGGTGATGGTCATGGTGCCAGTGTTGGGACCAGCTGCCCTGCTTAATCCACCTACACAGCCTTCCCCTTGTCTTCTATCTTCTCAACACCCACTCACCTGGGAGCCGTCTCTGGTGATGGTCATGGTGTCAGTGGTGGGGCGGCTGCCTTTGAGCCGAGCTGGCGACCCCAGGTACAAGGCTTTCCGCTTCGCCTCCAGATACTTCTCATACGCGTACCACCCGATTCCACACGAGTTCACCAGCAGACCCAGCAAGTTCGTGGGATTCAGCTGCGTTTGAGTAGAATAAGAGAGGATGAGGGGATTCTTTAGGCGCCTAGGAAAGCTAGCTATCGATTTGTGGGATTTAGCTGCGAATGGGTGAAGAAAAGGTGAGGTGTGGGGGGGAAAGATTAAGTGAGGGATGGTTTGTACAATGATACGGAGGAATTTGGGCTGTACTGAGGACGGTCGGACAGGTTTGGATAGGATCAGGGAATAGGGAATGGGAATGGGGAAATTTTTCCTGCCTTGACCTCGTTCCTCTGTCCCTATCTCTCTTGCTGTAGATATACAGCATATGCATAACCTGCATTGTGTGTGTGCGTGTGTGTGTGTGTATATGTGTGTGGGTATGTGAATGTGTGTGTGTGTGAGTGTGAGTGTGTGTGTTTGTGTGTGTGTGTGCATGTGTATGTGTGTGTGTGTGTGTGTGTGTGTGTGTGTGTGTGTGTGTGTGTTCATGTGATGTCATGTCTCACCAGCACATCGCCGAACGCGAAGAGCCCACCCAGACCTTGCAGGATGGACTTGGTTCGGCCTGAACGTCACAAGCAGATGAAGCACCGCATGTGAGAGGGATTTGACTAAGTAGGCGTATGAGTAATAGCAAGCAGGCGAACGAGAGGGCAGGCAAACGTGAGGGCAGGGAAACAGCAGCAACAAACACAGCTCCTTCCTGAACCCACGTTGTTGCTCTGTTCAGTCACCTGGGCCATCTTAACTGATGGTTCAGGTGGTGAACTAGTCTTTGACGAGCGTGGAGAGGTTCCTCGCAAGTCTGAGAATGAAAACCACATTGACCTTTGAGCCAACCAAAAGCCATCCTTCTTGCCCTTTGAGTCACCCAAAAGCAATCCTTACCGACAATGCTGGTAGTGAGCGAGTCGTTGACGAGCGTGCAGAGGTACGTGGCGAGGTTGAGGATGAACGCAGACGCGCAGGAGAGCACAAAGTAGAACAGGAACATGGCGCTCTGTGGGTGCAGCACCTGTCTCACAGCCACCATCTCGCCGTTCCACACCACCAGCAGGATCGAAAACGGCAGCGACCAAAAATTGTTGTACAGCAACAGCGTGAACGAGTCCAGCTGTAGCTCCTCCCCGAGCTTCCCCACTATAACGACATACGCGGCTGTTGCTAACGCGGATGAAAGCGCCAGAATGTAGCCTGGCAGGTCGAAGGTAAGGTCTCCTAGCCCTGCGATGAACCCTCCTGCTGTGGTGAGGTATACGGCTAGCTGGATCCGCACGGAAGCCTTTTTGGAGCGGAGGAAGTAGTCTAGTAGGAGGACGAAGGGAGTGGTCGAGGATTTGAGGACCCCGTACATGGGGATGTTGACTCTAGAGAGGGCGGACATGTCTAGAAGGAGCTTCAGAAGGAAGGCGAAGGACAGAAGGAAGACCTGTTACGGGGGAGGAGAGGGATCAGGGAAAGTGGAGGGGAAGAATGGGGGAAAGGGTGGGAAAGAAAAGAAGAGTTGGAGGATTGGGTGCTGAAGGATCGCTGGGGATCCGAGTGTTCGAGCATTGCAGAAGTGGCCACGTATGTTGGATAAAAGCGGGAGCAAAACGAGCAATCAGCTAGACCAGGCTTGTATCCTTTACTGAGTAGTAATGGATGACGGGAGGCTCAGTTGGGAACAAAGAGCGCGCGTATGTGAGAGCTAGTATCAGGACATGCTGTTTTTATACCCGTCGAAAGCAGTATGAAGCCAATCTGGCATATCTCAGTTGAGAGCAAGAAGCGCGGGTATGAAAGAGCCGGTACATCCCGTTTGGGATCATAACTTACCCGTTGAACGATAAAGAATGGCAGCTGAAAGCCGTTACATACCGTGAGTACGTACCCGTTGGAAGACATACAATGGCAACTGAGAGCTGGTACATACCGTTTGGGATTACTACTTACCCGTTGGAAGACGTAGAACTGAAATGGTGCCAATCTGATGACTCGGAACCGTCGCATGAGCAGTAGGAGGACGAGCGTGAAGCATGTTTGACCCAGAACCAGCGTGTACGGATGGTTGAAATGATAGACGTGGAAAATGGCTTTGTTGATAAACACGCTCGCCACTGACATTCCGCCTGGTGCACGTAAGGGGATTAGTGGTGATGAAATCAAAAGAGGGTATTTTTCAGTCAGATGAAAACGCTACTGAGATTCACTGTGGTTGGTACAAAAAGCAGAAATTAACGACAGTTGATATGGAATAGTTCTGGAGATATTACTGCTTTTCGTATCGCGGCTTGAGTATTCGGTACTTACCATAGAAGCACGCGATTACTAGTCCTCTGTAGTTCATCTCGATATTCGGGAACTGGAGGCACCAACTGTATGTTACTGTTGGTATTGGTGGTGCGTCAGCGTTGTCAGTGTTGCTGGTGATGTTACTGCTGTTCTGCTTCTAACAACAAGTGATCAGCACGTGCCACGACGATATAAGATAACTTCGACAGCGAGATCTGAAATAAACACCTCCGCATTCTTCTTATCCTCCTCTGAACTCTCTGATCGACGACTGAAGTACTGCTTAACTTGAAATAACACTGGCTGCTTTAGCTTCAGCGTTTCAGATTCTCAGCAAGAAACTCGTTACGCCAGCAAGCGCATTAAGCTCAGTCATTAATCAGGGTTTGTTGCGAGCGACATGCGGAATACATCAGCTACGTTACGGACAGCTGAATCAAATGTGTGTTGTGACTCTCAGTCAAGAGATTTAATCCAGAAACGCAGTTACGGAGAAAGGGCGTAAATGGGAGCAGCCATGTCAGAGCAATAAGTGGTACACTTGAAAACCAGCAGCTGAACGACACTCTAAGGAAGCGGTACCGTTGACGACTTCCATTATTCGCTTTCCGTCCAAACTAGGCGGCGAAGAACGGTTGATTGCGATTATGAACGATTTTTTCTGATTCACCGCCTTAAACCGCGCACTTAACCTCTGCAAACAAACGACACTCCCAGGCACGGCTCGAGGTTTGGTGAAACGGAGGGCTCCTTCCCAGCCACCTAGAAACAGGCACTCATGCCACATGTCCAATCAATATTCGAGGAAAATGTCGAGGGCGCAAAACGCGCGGGAAAGCCTAGCGTGACTGCAACGCGAAGCGGGACAAGTTCAAGGGGACAGGGTGGATGCGATCGCGCACGATGTTTGGTTCAAGTTGACTCTTGTAAGGGGGTCAATTAATTCAGTGTTGAGAGAAAAAAAAAAAAAATCGCACTTGCTTCAGATGTTTTCTTAGACGGAAACATGATCCGAACCACCGAGCAATGCATAGACGTGTATCACAATTAAGAATGGATATGCACCTCAAACGCGTACAGCCTGAGACACATCTTTCAGGCTTCACATTCCTCTTCCTCACCACCATAAATAACGCCCTCCACCTTTTCACTCCGTTTCCCGTAGCTGCACTATTTCTCCCAACAAGTCCTGAGAATTGCGCCTGGAAATTGGGCATTATTATTCCATGGCGTCCTGTCCAGCAGCTTCGCTGCAACAATGCACCCTCCAAGTAACTGCCTTCCAGGCACATCAAAAGCAATGTGTCCTCCGGCCAGCCGCCGACTCCTCGTGTCCACATCGCAACATCATCTCCAACAACCGCAGTCTCGGGTCCAATAAGAGCAGCTTCTTACCCGCGCGTCGACCGTATGCCACTCCGTCGATTTTCCGCCAAAGATCCCAGAGTAGACCTATCGTCCGCGTGACCGCGAGCGGCGGAGGCGACGCGGTCGGCCTGGGCCACGGATCAGGCGCCTCGGCGGGAGCAGCCGCAGCCGCAGCCGCAGCTGCAGATGCAGCAGCGGCCGCACGCGACGGCGCCAGCGGCGGCGGCGGCGGATACGCGTCGTCGTGGGAGGCGAAGGATTACGAGGGGAAGGACTATCTGTACCGACTGGGCGCGGAGGCGGATAACTTGCGCATCACGGTGGGCGCGAAGCACGGCAACATCGACAGCGTGTTCGTTGGGGACTTCCTGGGGAAGGACGGTGAGTGGGGGGTGCGGAAGGTGAGAAGAGGCCGCGGATTGGGGGAGGAGGGTGGGTGGCTTTTGAGACGTCTCAAAAGGTGAGAAGAGGCCGCGGATTGGGGGAGGAGGGTGGGTGGCTTTTGAGACGTCTCAAAAGGTGAGAAGAGGCCGCGGATTGGGGGAGGAGGGTGGGTGGACGCGAAGCACGGGAACATAGCGTGCTCGTGGGGGCTTTTTGGGGAAGGACGGTGAGCGCGGAGGTGGGGGGAGGAGAGGTGAGCGCGGAGGTGGGGGGAGGAGAGGTGAGCGCGGAGGTGGGGGGAGGAGAGGTGAGCGCGGAGGAGGTGATCGCAGGGATGAAAGTGGCGGTGAGCTTGGTGAACTGAAAGGGGGAGGGGGAGGGGGAACGGAGGGGAAAGTGAGGGGGAGGGAGGTGGGAAGGGGAAGGTGGACAATCCGAGCTGACTCTCGAGTCAATTAACTTTTGAGTTGACTCTTGAGTCGATTGACTTTTGAGTTGACTCTTGAGTCGATTGACTTATGAGTTGACTCTTGAGTCGACTGACTTTTGAGTCGACTGACTTTTGAGTCGACTGACTTTTGAGTCGACTCAAAAGAAGGTTGGACAATCCTTCTCGTCAGGGAGGTGGAAAATGGGTGTGAGGGTACCAGCTCAGTCTCAGCCACTTAATGATCTATCCTTTGCTCACGTGATTGCTCTTGCCTCATGAACTAACCCCAATTATTCCTTTCTCCCCCACTTCTCCCCCAAATCCCACCCACCCAACCTTCTTCCCCCCCTCCTCTCCCCCCCACCAGCAGACATAGTGTTCAAGTACCGCCAGAGTGTGACACACTCGTCTGAGTTGATGCAGGTGGTTTTGAGGATTCTCAGAGACCCGCTCCCCTCTTCTTCTCTCCTCTTCTTCACCCACCAGCGGACATAGTGTTCAAGTACCGACAGAGTGTGACACGCTCGTTCGAGCACATTCAAGGCGATTATTACATCGCTCCCACCTTCCTCGTAAGCTATTGCTGCTGCTTTGACTCAAGCACTCATTGTTTGTTTTGCTTCTGTTTCTATTTTCGTCTAGGCGTGTTTTTTCAACTGCGTCTGTCTGTGTTTAATAACCTTTTTATCCACTTGCAAGTTAATTTGGTTTTTTCAACTCACACCTGAAAGCTTCTTGCATCTTTCCCTTCAATGTTTTTTCACGTGTTTCGTCTAATTCCCATCGCTCCATCCATGTGCCTCGTCTCAACCTTTCGCCACAAAAGGACAAAGTCGGTGAGTCAATCTCCATATTCCCCTGTCGACGATTCGCAACTTAATCAAGAGTTGCAACAATGCTTCTGTGAATTTGTCGCAAAGAACGTGAGGGTCCACAGGCGACTGAGAAGCAATCTCCTGCCTGCCTGCTCCCCGTGTTGCATGACCGCCCCCCACTCTCCGCCTTGTTCTCCCCCCTTCCCCCTTCCCCCACCAACCTCTCGCTACAGTCACATTCATTGCAAAGAACTACCTCGCATCTCAGCTCAGCTGCAGAATCCCACTCATCCTCGGTACGTCCCAACCAACTCCGTAAGAACTCTCATTTTTCGTGAACCTTAATGCGCTTATAACATGCTGCCAGCTGGACTGCTGACAGCTGGACTGCTGCCAGCTGGACTGATGCCAGCTGGACTGCTGCCAGCTGGACTGCTGCCAGCTGGACTGCAAGCATCGCTTCATCCTCGGTTCATTGCCACGAGATCTTCTTGCATGAGATCTCGTGGAGGCTCACTGTTGAGAATACCAGGCTCCTCAACGCATGCACTGTACCCAACCCAACCCAATCCCCTTGCCCATGACTTTTTGCTTGCAGGCATATGGGGCGGCAAGGGGCAGGGGAAGACGTTTCAAGTGGAGCTGTTCAAGGACGCTGGGCTTGGAACCGATCATTCTGCCGGGTGGAGAGATGGAGACGCTTAAGAGCATGCACGCTACCCTTCCCTCTGCTTGCAGGCATATGGGGCGGCAAGGGGCAGGGGAAGACGTTTCAAGTGGAGCTGATATTCAAGGCGCTGGGCTTGGAACCAATCATTCTGCCGGGTGGAGAGATGGAGAGCGAGGGGGCTGGCGAACCTGGATGGCTCATTCTGTCTGTTTCGTTCGCTTTCCTCTCTGTCCCTTTTCTTGCAGGGATTTGGGGCGGGAAAGGTCAGGGGAAGACGTTTCAAGTGGAGCTGATATTCAAGGCGCTGGGGTTGGAGCCAATCATTCTTTCGGCTGGAGAGATGGAGAGCGAGTGGGCTGGCGAACCTGGGAGGCTTATTCGCAGCCGCTACCGCGATGCACATCTCGTCATCAACAATAAGGTTTTTTGTTTGTTTGATTTTTTTTTGTTGAAAGGGTCAGTGGACCCAGATCTTGAGTCGACTTAAAACACATCTGATTTTACGCTAGGGGTGGTTTGTTTCCTTGCTGTAATGTTTTCTTTGTCATTTGATTTCTGTGTCTGTGTGTGTGTGTGTGTGTGTGTGTGTGTGTGTGCGTGTGTGTGTGTGCGTGTGTGTGTGTGTGCGTGTGTGCGCGTGTGTGTATGTGTGCGTGTGTGTGTGTGTGATGTGTGTGTGTGTGTTTGCCTTCCTTTCTAAGGGCGTTTTTTTTTTTTTTTTTTTTTTTTTTTTTTCATATATAATTTGTACGCATGTGCAGGGCAAAATGAGCGCTCTGATGATCAACGACCTTGATGCCGGGATTGGCCGATTCGGTGAGCCGCTTGCTCTCATTCCATGCCACTTGCTCTCATATCATGGCACACTGTGCACCATGCATTCAAAACTGATGCTTCATACCCCCAGTAACTTATTACCCACACCACCCCTCCACCTCCCACCCCCACCTCTACCCTCGTCCCCCCCGCTCCCTTTCCTGGTGCTCCCACAGCGATATGGTATACCCCACATCCAGCGCACGATTTTTGAGGTGCCTAAAAAACTGAGACGATTTTTGAGGCGGTTTTTGAGTTACCTAAAAAATCCTCTCCCTGTCCTCGTGCTCCCACAACGATAGGGTATACTCCACAACCAGCGCACACGCAGACAACGGTGAACAATCAGATGGTGGTGGGAACGCTCATCAGCCTCTGTGACTGACCCCACGCAGGCCAAAGTGGGGCAGGACTGGCGCGAGGGCGACCTGCTGAAGCCCACTGCAAGCCCTCCTTCCCGCTCTCCCCTGTCTCTCCCATTCCCTGCAACCCACAAACAGCGCACACCCAAACGACGGTGAACGATCAGATGGTGGAGGGCACGCTCATGAGTCCGTGAGACGACCCCACGCTCGGAGCGTGTGATGAGTCGAACTTTGAGCCGACTCGAAAATCGGGCACGCTCATGAGTCCGTGTGTGTGACGACCCCACACTTAGAGCGTGTGATGAGTCGAACTTTGAGTCGACTAAAAAATCGGGCACGCTCATGAGTCCGTGTGACGACCCCACGCTTGGAGCGTGGGGCAGGACTGGCGCGAGGGCGACCTGCTGAAGCCATGGCCTCTCTCGTTTCCTCCTTTTCCCTATATTCAGCGCACACGCAGACAACGGTGAACAATCAGATGGTGGTGGGCACGCTAATGAGCCTCTGTGACGACCCCAACGAGTCTCCCCCACCTCCTTCTCTCCCCCTTTTCCCCCTCTTCCCCCCGCCTCTCCACTCCTTCCCCCCTACACTTGACAGCGCACACCCAAACAACAGTGAACAATCAGATGGTGGTGGGAACGCTGATGAGCCTCTGTGACGACCCCACGCGAGCCAGCGTGGGGCAGGACTGGCGCGAGGGCGCTGACCTGTTTCCTCCCCACCATACCTCCCCACCGTACCCCAACTCTACAGCGCACACGCAGACAACGGTGAACAATCAGATGGTGGTGGGCACGCTGATGAGTCTCTGTGACGACCCCACGCGGGCCAGTGTGGGGCAGGACTGGCGCGAGGGCGACCTTCTGAACCGCGTGCCGATCATCGTGACTGGAAATGACTTCAGCACGCTGTGGGCTCCCCTTATTCGTGATGGGCGCATGGAGAAGTTCTACTGGTGAGCATCTAGCCACATGCACTGATGGCTTATATTTGGCCGGCCTGGCCCACCACGACCAGTTTTTTAGGCGACTCAGAAGTAGATTTTTGAGTGGACTCAAAAGTAGTGAGCATCTAGCCGCATGCACTGATGGCTTATATTTGGCCGGCCTGGCCCACCACGACCAGTTTTTTAGGCGACTCAGAAGTAGGTTCTTAAGTCGACTCAAGAATAGTGAGCATTTAGCCGCATGCACTGATGGCATAAATTTGACCGGCCTGGCCCAGCGCGACCTGCCGAACCGCGCTCCCATCATTGTGACCGGAAACGACTTCAGCATGCTGTGGGTTCCGTTGAAAAAAGATCAACTGCTCTGCTGTAACAAACATTCCTTTCCTTTGTTCCTCTGCTCCTGTCCCCGCCCTTTCCCCGCATTTGTCTTTTGAGTTGAGTCGTAAAGTCGCTTTGTTTCTCTGCTCCTGTCCCCGCCCTTTCCCAGCATTTGTCTTTTGAGTCGAATCGTAAAGTCGCTTTGTTTCTCTGCTCCTGTCCCCGCCCTTTCCCAGCATTTGTCTTTTGAGTTGAATCGTAAAGTCGCTTTGTTTCTCTGCTCCTGTCCCCGCCCTTTCCCCGCATTTGTCTTTTGAGTCGACTTGTAAAGTCGCTTTGTTTCTCTGTTCCTTCCCCCGCCCTTTGCCCTCATTTGCTCTGCCATTTTCCCATCTGCTCCCCGTCCCCCCCCTCACACCGGGTCCATTACAGGCAGCCCACAAGGGAGGATATAGTGAATATAGTGTACCGAATGTACATTAAAGACGGCTTATCACTTCAAGATATTGAGAGACTTGTCGACACCTTTCCAAACCAACGTATGCTCATACATTGTTAGAGTAGTTTAGTGCCCTCCCAATTCCTTCTTCTTGTGAAAGAGTGTAGTTTTGAGACGTCTCAAAAGTACACTTCTTTCACGTGTCATCTCGCTTATATTTTGCACACTGTTTTCCGCTGAGTAGTTCAGTGCCCTCCCTGTTCCTTCTTCTTGCGCTCACTGCTCCTTTTGCCCCTAAGCGTTCCTGCCGCTTGCCCACAGTGCACCTCCCTTGTGCATCCCTCGAACCCATGAACTTGAAAGCTCTCAGCATCACCTGAGCCTCGTGTCCCTCTGTAAGGTAATGCAGGAAACCTGTGTCCCACCCCTCCCCATTACTCCTCCCTCCCCTCCTCTCTCCATTCTCACTCTTACCTCCTTCCTTCTCCCTCCACACTCCGTCCTCTCTCATCCCCCACTGCTCCCCTCCATCCTTCCCTCTGTGACCCCCTCCATACTGTTCACCTTGCTCCAAGAGTAGCGTTGGACTTTTATGGCGCCCTTCGAGCTCGCACATACGATGATAAAGTGCTTGAGGTATGTAGGTGTGTGGGTGTGTGTCTGTGTGCGCGCGCGCATGTGCACACGCATGCACGCGCGTATGCATGTGTATTGAAGCTGAGCGTGTAATGAAGCAAATCCACGCATGCAGTTGAGATGTATGTGTACAGTGTAGAAGATAAGCTGGTGTTACTGTACGCTAGTGATACTGTAACCAGAGCTCACACCCAGTTCTCCATTCACTTCCTCTAACCACCCTTTTCCCCTTCCTTCCCAGTGGGTGGAAGCCAACGGAGGGCCATCCAAGGTGGGTAAGCTGCTGATCAAGCCGAGGAGATGGGACGATGGCAGCGATGGCAAGGACACCAGACCCTCCGTCGACCCCCCTGCGGTACGCTGTTCGTACCACTCTGCTGCTGATGCATGTTTATCACAAGCGCATACCGGTGGTATTCATGTGATTCTCTCTTTCCATCAGCTTCCCATTTCTTCTACCTTCCTTGCTAACCTTGCCTTACCCTAAATGTTCTTCCCCGTCCTCTGTCCCCTCCTCCTGTCATCTCACACACCCTTGCTCTCGCTTGTCCCACTCTCCAGCAAACTCTAGAGGACCTTGTAAGGGCAGGGGAGGAGATAGAGCACGAGCAGAAGTTGATGAATGAAGCTCGCTTGTCGGATGAGTACATGAAGAAACAGACTGGTCCAGGGATTGGGCTCACGATGGGTTGAAGGGGGTACTCAAGGGAAGGTGATTCAAGTAGGGCTAATTGCCAATTTTGTCAAATTGTGAAGTAAAACTGAAGTTTAACTTACATGTCCCCTCCTGGATGGTCCAATTTCAGGAACGAGGACCATTGCATGTGATGGCACCTGGATTGTTTAGCAGAATTAGTACAAAGGTGATATGGAATTTTAATCAAACACGATGCTTCTCACTGCAACTATACGCCTGTCTACATACACACTGGTTGGAGTCACCTCCCAGCAAGGGGGTCATGAAGTTGAATATGATAGTGCCTGATAGTGCCTCAGATGTCTGATTCAATTGCTTGTCCTTGATTCTATAACGCGTAGCTGCTTAGGAGACCACACTTGTCTTGAACATGGATGCACGGATCTGAGTGGAATGCACAGCGGGGACGGGGAACATGGGCAGAAAAACATGAATAGAAAACAAATCAGAGAATCATACCAAGGACAAGTCTAGCATCACGTGAACATAAAAATCCATGCAATGAAAAATATATATTTCCATGCCAGTGTGTTTAGGAAGAAATACTCACGGCAGGAAGGTTTTGCTTGAACGCAATCTCAAGACGAGCATCGAGTGTGTTGGAGCAGACCACCCGGCCATCCTTAGAAGCCATCACAACGCCTCCAGCACTGCCCACGGAATAAAAAAATATTGAGCCATAAGTTGGTTGAGGATTTCATGGCACTCATTGCATGAGACTTCACCAAGAAGGAACAAGGATGACAGAACCAAAGACATTTGTGGAAACATGGCTGGGATGTGGCTCACCAGTGGGGTGCAGCAGGAAGAAACTTGACAGTATCCACATCCACTGTTGGCGCTGTTTGCTTGGTAACTGTTACATACTCCTGGATAGCGCCGGGCAGAGCAGCTTTCACAGCAGAAACATCAGCTTCACGGCATCTAAGCTGTACGGCGGACTCGTTCAGGCGCACAAGTCCCTGAAGCAAGTAGGAACCATAGGAGTCATGGGAATAAATCAGGCTTCTATCAAGAGACTGGAAGCAAGGGATCATCATACGAGAAACAAACGGGAGTTTCAATCAGAGAAGAAACGCTAGCTGTTAAGAGTCTCACCTGAGCAATCACATCCTTCAACAGTTCAGTGTATTTCTTCGTGTCACTAGAGACCTTCAGGAGCTCTTTCTCTGCTGCAGCCTTCATCTCTTTGACAATGGAGTCCTGAGCTTGCAGCACTTTCAGTCGCGAGGCATTCAGCTGCTTGGAATAATCGCTGTTTCAGCAAAAAAAAAAAGAGTGTGAAATCTGGGTGAAATGTGGACCTTTAACCTAGCTAAAACTAGATGGATCATGGATCTATGACGAGCTTACATTTTCTTCGCGATCTCGACCTGCTTCTCCTTGCGCTCATATTCTTGACGGATCTTTCTCTTCTCCGCCTCTACGAGCTGCAGCTTTTCAATGTTGAACTCCTGAACGAAACGAAAAAAGCGATCGCATTAGGGATCCAGCGACGTCATTGTGTCGCGGAAATGGCTCGAACTAGGGATCTGGTAAATGGCGCGACGAATAATATCGCTAGTTCCTATCCGTGCTATATCGCTAGTTCCTATCCGGGCTCATGCTGTACCTCTTCAGCAGCAACAGCGATTTCATTAGCCTTCTCCTCGGCCTCTTGACGGATAAACTCCACCATCTGCTGCACCTGCTTCGAAACCTCGGCGCCCTGCATCTTGTCGGATGCTAAAAAATATCAAATAAGAAGTCTTAAAAGCAGGAGCCCTGTTCCGAATAGGAGGCTTCAGGTCAAATCTAGCCTAGTTTCCTGGAGTAACCTAGGCTCAAGTGAAGTCGGATAGCTGTTCCTGCAGTGATACTGGTCTAGTCTAGTCTATCCCTGCTGCTGCTGTTCGTATTTCTGCAGGGAGTCAGCGAATGTGGATTTGTTGGTTTGGTCAGGCCTCGGTTCAGGCTCGGCATTCTCGGTGGCAAAACGTAGGCATTCGGTGCGAAAGGACTTCACAGTGGTGAAAATAGCGAAACCCCATAAGAACAGTTCAAGGTAATTAGTAGCATTTAGGGAATTTAGGTTGTTTGTGGAAAGAAATGCAGCTTCAGATGCTGGGTGAGACTGTTGATTCCATATCACATTTCAAAGCACAAGAAGCTTGACATTTCGTGGGCGCTCTACATTGTGCTACGAATTCTTCACACAGCAGGCTTGTGCATGTCAGGACAGCTAAGAGTTTACTCTTCCTCCTCAGCACCTTCCACAGCGGCAGCAGCAGCCCGTCCAGCAATACGGTCAAGATCACGCTGCCCATCAGAGGTGATGCGGCGGCCACTGCAAACACAGTCCAAGAAAGCAAATACCAGTAGAGAATGCAACTGAAAACAGGAGCAACAAGTCATGGTTCAACTTTTCCCACAGCAACATCTCAAACAACACACCCTCATCTTAGCTAAACAGGTCCTCATTCCAGTCCAAAGGATTCTTCTCAGGAACATTCATTTTGCCCGGCTTGATGGAAAAAAGCATGACAGCCTCTCAGGCCTGAAACGAGAAGCCTGTCACAGGCACTCACCCAAAGAAGCCTGCACCAATACCAGCTTCCTTTGCCAGGCTTTACAAGTGACCCGCTCACCCGTTGGCGTCCTGCTCCCTGCTCCGCAACGCCAATAGGCTCCAGCCGCTGCAGCAAATGCTATGCCCTTTGAAGCGACTGCTGAGCCACGCACAGTCACCACAGCATGACGCCACCCATGGCACTCAGTACAAAGCGCCCCATCACACACAGCCTTGATTTCTCTCTCAACCCCTCACACACACTCATTCACCCCTAGAAGTCCTGTTCGACGATGCAAAATCCCGATGGACTCCAGATGCTAGAGCACGTGCTGAACCCCTTCCACTCATGCCCGCATAACACCCACCACTAACTACCGTCCTGCGCCCTCTCACCCTCTAGCACACACACGCTCACCCGTTGGTACCCGCTCACCCGTTGGCGTCCTGCTCGACGATGCTGATGGACTCGAGCTGCTGCTGCACGTACCGGGCCACTGAAAGCGACTGCCGAGCCCACTCACAGTCACAATCACTGCAGCCAGCATGCACGACTTGACACGCAATCACTCACTCACTGAACCCACGCACACAGCCACTCACCCGTTGGCGTCCTGCTCGACGATGCCGATGGACTCGAGCTGCTGCAGCACGTGCCGGGCCACGGACCCGCTGCTCCTGCAGAAGTGCGACGGCCGCGACCCGTTGTTCTTCGGCCCGCCTGCGATGGGAGGGGTGGGAGAGGGGAGGAATAGGAGGGGGATATGTTCTGAGACGTCTCAAAACTTGTGTCGGGCCACGTATCCGCTGCTCCTGCAGAAGTGCGACGGCCGCTACACGTTCTTCGGCCCGCCTGTGAAGGGAGAGGGGGGAGGGGGGAGGGGGAAGGGGGAACCGGGAGAATAATAGAAGGACATGTTAGGCGGATACGGGAGGGGGGTATATGAGTCGGGTATGTTAGGAGGATAAGGAAGGGGATATGTGGCGAGGATATGAGAACGGGATAGAGGGGATACGGCAGCAGGAACAGATTGCAGAGAAGAAAGAGGAGAGAAAGGGAGGGGTGGATGGCCCTGATGGAGTGGAAGAAGAGAGGACCGGAGAAACCGCAGCCCCGGACGATATGAACGCACAGAGCGCGAGACGAGCCGTCGAGCGCTTAAACAAGCGAAACTGCAAGTGCTGGTCGTGAACAAGGATAACACAGAGCGCGAGAATGGTGGGGGGGGGGGGGGGGGGGGGAAGAATGGGGAGGGGGGAGGGAGAGCGGGAGGCGAAGAACCAGAGAAGATTTATTTTTCCACTCGCAAGATACGTACCGTAGATCTTCTTGAAGGCACCGACTCCAACGCCAGGCTTCAGGTACACCTTGCGAGCCATGGAGGCTGCAGGAGGGACACGCAGCAGGAAAACATCAGAGAAAGGGGGAAACGCTGAGTTTCCACAGGTGTAAGTCAATAAGGGGGTTGTGTTGTTCCAGAACCAACACACAGGTGTAAGTCAGGAAGGGGGTTGTGTTGTTCCAGGACCAACACACAGGTGTAAGTCAAGAAGGGGGTTGTGTTGTTCCAGAACCAACACGAGCTTCGTGATAAATTTGGCAGTTCATAAACGTTAACGGGCTGGTCACCCTCCAGATATGGCACGATCCAGAACTACTCGTGACCCACGAGCCAGGAAAAAGGTACTGCAGCAGCGACGACACCACTGGAGGAATGGATGCCTTATACAAGAGGTGAGAGAGGAATGCAAGCGAATGAGAGTGGGAGCGAGTGAGAATGTGAAAATGCAACATTATTTCGTTATGCCTGTTGTTGCACTCAGTGAACGATGCATTCAAGGCATAACCATTTTAAGAAACTATCTCCGAGGCGCCTCAAACAATTTTCCAGTACACGATGCATAGAGGCGATACGTACCAGCGCGGATGTAGTACCAATCGGGATCATAGGGCGCAAGTTCCTTGTAGGTTCCTGTCTTGACGATGTCAGCCCATGTGGGAACCTCCACCTGATGCGGTCACGCAAGGGAGAGAAGGGGGGGAAGAGGGTGGGGGAGGGCGGGGGAGGGAAAACGAGCAAGAACGAGGCTGAAAAGTATTGAAGCGACGTCAGCCCATGTAGAAACCTTCACCTGATGCGGTCACGCAAGAGAGGCAGGAGGGATGAGGGAGCAGATGGGGTAATGGAAACGAACGACAATGCGGACCTATCATTCGGATCAAATGGCCGAGACTAAAGAGAGGGAGGGAAAGAGGGGAATAAGGAGCTAAAACCAGACAAGGGGGGAAAAGTGATGAAGAGAAAAGTAAATGTGCGAGACCAAAGAGGAAGAGGGAGCGGCACTGAGAAGGAAGAGAAAGAGGGAAGGGAGAAAGGAATGGAGGATAAAAAGGGTGGCGTTCTGAATGCGTGAACTGCCGGGAGACGTGCTGCTTGATGCAGTTCGGGGTAACCTATTTTCTGCTGACAACGTATCGTCTACCCACGAGCTGCGGAAGAATATCCGCACGCACACGCGATAACTTTAACTCGAGTGGACACCTGTGATTCGTCAAGTACCCGATTCTTTCATCGCATACGAGACACGACATCCTAGTGAAGCGTATCGGGACACGCCGTTATGACCACGCGACGACCTCAGAACTGCGAAACCCTAACATCAGAGACAGCAGCAGCTTCGACGATCCGCCTGACGACCCTCTGCGGCAGCTTCATCGCCTAATCGCGCAACGGAGACGAGCCACCCCTTTCAAAAAGAAATACCACGAGTGAAAAAACGTGATGGGCAACTGGGTAACGGACCCAGCGAATCAACATGAAGAGTAGCATTCCCTCCGCAACTAGGGTTTCGCTTGTGAATCGACTCAAAACCAGGTCAGTTAAAATTCCCCTTTCATAATTACGCCTCCGTCCCTCGCGCGTTGGAAACCTACGCTCAACGTATGGTCCTAGCGCCATCTCCTCCCTGAACGTCAGACGCTCTCTAGTCGCCTAACCTGCAAATTAACTACTGGCTGTGGCTATAGCACCACCGAATCCAAAGATAAAAATCCTTCCCATTTCCCCCAGCGCTTGTCTGCTTCTGAGAGGCCTTAGGGATGTCTAGGCTATGCCCCTGGTTATTGCCGCAGCTACTCCCGATCGCCCTCGTTATTGTCACGGTGATCACCTTGCCTGTGCGCTTCAAGTGAGCCGCATACGCCTTGACGAAGGCATGCGGCGACACGTCCTTCACGGTTGTTCCTGTGGCCACCATCCTTCCCTTTTTCTTCTGCGATTAAACTAAAACTTGGAAAAGTAAAGACGCTCGTCTATGGTGCGGAGGAGTATGCGCGGCACCACGCAGGCCTATGGGGCCAGGGAGGATTCTGGCTCAAGGGCGGAAAAGGAGGTAGAGGAGAAAAGAGGAGAGCCAAAATACCGAGAATAGGTCAATGGCGGAGGGAGCAGGGCAGGGGAGGGAGAGGTGTGACGAATGGGGAAGGATAGGAGGGGAGAGGCAGAGAGGAGGGAAGGGAGACAGGGAGGGGAGGGAGAGGAGGGAAGCGGAAGCGAGGGAAAAGGTTGGGGGAGTTTCCCCCAGAAAGGCTGTGTCTGGGACAGAAATCGCGCAGAGTTGGAGGCAGGGAGAATCCGCGGCGAAAGATACGGGTTTGGCGGAGACCTTGCGAAGGGTAACAGAGTACGAAGAGGGAAGGTTGGCGAGGATGCTTTGTGGCGAGGGATGTGGAGCTCGAGGGCGGTGGTGGAAAGCCACCCAAAACAAATCAGTCGCACAATCTTTGAATATACAACATGATCATTTCAATCAATCCTCATTTCCTACATATATTGTGTTAGGCCCGACGGCCTAAGTCCGCTAAAGAATTAGCGGGGTCGACTAAGTCGAGGATGAAATGCGGCAAAAGACATTGGCGAAAGAACTATTGGCAAAATATGTGAAGAAGTTACTGAGTAATTCAATAAGAGTTGAATGAGAATTGATTGATAATGGCAAGTACAAGCAAGGTTTAAGTAGCATGCAAGAAACTGTTGGAAACAATCGGTCATAAGCGCCTCTGTCGTGTCGAAACACTAAGGCACAAGCGAAGCAAAGCATATCGAGGAACCAGCGAGTCAACCCTCGGAGGTTGAAGTAACCGCTGGAGGTTACGCGAAACTCAAAGATCAGTGACCTTTGACTTGACAAGTACAGCGCGACAGCAAGGACACACAACTGACTCGTTACAGAGCAGTTGCCCGAGTCCTCACTGTATCGAACCGCAACAGCAACAGTAAAGTAGTTATAACTGCGTCTTTTCATATTCCCTGTATTCAGATATAATCTTGTATCTCCTTGTTTTAATCAACTTACTTTGCCCTCACATACTAGCGCAAGGTGGTTCACAACTCCTTATTAACGCTTCCGCTACTACACCAACTCTACCCAGAGTTCACCCCTGCAAAGATCCTAAGGGCTTTTTCAGCCCAACATGGTATGAGAGCTATCAGGGGGAATTCAACTTCTATACCAACAGTATCAATCAGCATGGCTACACAAAAAGAAAGGAGCAACTCCAACGGCTCCCAGGGAACTACTCCTACCCCACCTCCTGCCCCTGGTCTACAGACAGAGGAGGGCACGGCAGCAAGACCCAGAGGAACATCTACCGAGACTCCCGCGAATCAACCTGCAGACTTCGACCAGAGCATGATGGAGAAGTTTTTTTCCTTCATGTCCTTCTACGAGCAACACCAGCAATCAGCACCTGCGCAGTCACACAACAGCAACAACAACGGAGCAACACCCATGAGTCTCGACGGCTCATCATATGCACGAGGAAATCAACAACAGCAGCCTACCTTTGCTCCGTACGAGCGCGGGTCCATCAGCTTCATGCCACACCCACAGCCCTCACCTGGACAAGAAAAACCACTGAACGCATTGCAAGTTCAGTCGTAGTTCGCTCACGTTCTGAAGATGCAGACGTCAAGACCCTTCGATGGAAAGGACTTCTTCACCTGGTCGTTCGAGTTCGAGCTGATGATGGAAGGCGCGCAGATACTCGGGTTCTTCGACGGGTCTTTGCCATACCCAACAAACGGCACACAGTACGAGAAGCAGCAGTACACCTATCAGTCAATGATGGCGTATACGATCCTACTGAGGAACATCACCCCGACTCAACAGCAGAACATAAGGACTTACCGAGGTTACGGCAACTCCGCGGAGCTCGCGTACAACCACCTGAAGAGCCTGTATCAAGCAACAGACAGCGTAAGTCAAAGTCGGTTAATGGCGCAACTGACAACGGTTGAAATGAAACCAGGGGAGAAAGGAATGGCGTATGTCAGTCGATGTCGCGAGTTGCGCGACAAGCTTCTTCGATGCGGAGGGTCGATTTCTGAAGACGCCTTCGTGACAGTCATCATCGGCGGCCTCGGTCCTCAATGGCGCGCCACAAAGGCCATCCTCCGAGCTCACGGAAGAATCTCCGAAGCAGCGCTCTGCGTCGAAATCCACGCCGAGCAGCAAGACATGGACCTGCAAGAAGAACGACACAGAAAGAAGACATCAGCACCGGAATTCGCGTTCCACACCCAGCGACGCTACAACAACAACAACAACCGGCAGCAACAACCGAAGCCAGTACCTCTGTTCTGCCACATCTGCAAAACTTCTGGACACCCGCGTACACACTACCCGAATCGTCAACAATCAACAACCCCACAACGACAACTTCGACCTTCAAGCAGCCAAATCGCCTCAACGCAAGTAAATCCCACGACTCAGATTCAAGCTTCAACGATCTCAACAGGACAACCTGCACAAGGAGCAAGAAACATCGTCAGCTGCATGGCAAAGCTGACAGACTCCTGCATCACCGAGTCACCACCACACTACTCACCGGAAGAACAACTCGACGAAACCACACCCCGCCGCGAGTCACTTCAGCCGAACCCGACATACGCCGCCATCGCCCAAAGCGAACCATCCGGAAGAGACACATGGTTCTTGGACAGTTGTTGCGGACAGCAGATGTGCTCCTCGGGACGCTTCGTTCAATGAGAACACCAACTTCAACGCGAAGTTGTCATTACAGTCGCCAACAATCAGAACCTGCGAACACGACGACAAGGCGTAGTTCAACTTCAGTCAAGGGAAACAAACGTTATAATGCAGATGTCAAAAGTACTAATCGCGGAGGGACTCGGCTACAACTTACTGAGTGTCAGTCAGCTAATGGCGAAGGGGATTCACCTCGAAGCAGACAGCACCACCCAAGAATTCAAGCTGTATCACGAGAGAGGACTCTACATCGGCTAGGCGGTTCTCAAGAACAACGTCTTCGTTCTTGATTTCGTTCCTGACCTTGGCACCGCCGACAGCGACGCCATCGTCAACTTCACCAACTGGACACACACTCCAGACCTTGATCCTGACTTCCGTCCAGAAGGGTTCTGGTATTCACACACCATCCTTGAAGCAGAAAGAACAAGGGCGTTAGCAACAATTCAGACAACATCAGCAGCAGCAGAGACAACATCGGCAGCAGCAGAGACAACATCGGCAGCAGCAGAGACAACATCGGCAGCAGTAGAGACAACGTAGGCAGGAGCAGAAACAACATCGGCAGCAGCAAAACCATCAACGGCAGCAGCAAGAACGTCAACACCAATCGCTGGTCCTTCAACGACACCGCTTCTCATCGACGACACACCACCAACACCCGCGCAACAACTACACCCAGCACCACGAGAAGTTCATCGTAGCGCCAACGTCACCGCCAACTTCTACTCCTACTCCGACATGTACCGACGATCACCCGGACATCGCGCCGACGAAAGCACCTGGCACGCAAGGATGGGACATCCAAGCAACACAGTATTAAACAATACAATAAGAGCAGGAGTACTCGACAAGGACTCACTCCTACTGACCGACGGACGAGAACTTCAACGAGTACGCGGAACGTGCTTCACCTGCCCTGAAGGTGACTTACCACATCGACCGTTCGCGCCTCATCACAACCCGAACACTCCCGCGTACGCACCACTCGAGAAGGTGTATAGCGACATCCTGTTCAATCGGGAACCAGGACAAGTAACATACAACTACACGATCACCTTCATCGACGCCGCCACCCGTTACTTCTGGCACCTAAACCTCCCTAGCCGCGACATGGCATTCGCAGCCTTCGTTGCTTGGCTACCAGTAGCAGAGAGAGAATCGGGCGTGCAACTGAAAAGCTTCCAGTCAGACGGAGGAGGAGAATACACATCTCAGCGATTCAAGCAGTACCTGGCGGAAAGGGGAATCAAGCAGCTCATCTCCCTTCCCTACGCCCATCAGCAGCAAGGTGTAGCAGAAAGAATGAACAGGACCCTGCAGAACAGCATGCGCAAACTGTTACGTGGCATGCGGCTACCCAACCACCAGTGGCATGCAGCAATGGACCACGCTGTCATGCTGCACAACTTGCTGTCGTCATCATCACTTCCGAACAGTGCATCACCGCATCTGCTATGGACAGGGAAACAGGGCAGCACAAAAATGTTACGAGTTTTCGGATGCATGGTACAGTACCGACCACTAGCAGCACGAGCGGGCCAATTTTCTCAACGAGCACAGTGGGGACTACACCTGGGAATCGAAAAGAACTACAACGCGTGGAAACTTATCCACTACCACGAAGATGGCGTCGTGACCCCTAACTGTGCGCGGTAAAGCCATGATGAAGTCCATCGTAACTACCTGCCAAGGACGGTTGGGTGGTGGAATCGGCTGCAAAAGTCCTGCCTTGCGCTGGCGAGAGGACTTCGTACACTGACACGTGTCGCACGAGCGAATGTAATCCTCTATGTCTGCTGCAAGCCCTAGCCAGTAGTACGTGCTACTAAGCGTCTTATGTCAGAACATTATAGCTTATACATTTGTGTAGGCTGTAGTGGGGTAGCCCACAAGGGGTACAACCCAATTAGGGTTAGTACTTGTACCCAACTGTTTCATAGTTCATTCATTCCATTCTCACTTCTCGTCATGGTATCGAGCAGGTTCCCGAGTGGGAATACTGCCTAGGGCCCACCGCGAACTTTTTTTTTCCTTCCCTGCCCGAAGCGCGCTTAGCTCCTAACCCGAGTAGCGTCTTGAGCCGCCTTCGTGGCCCCTGTTGGCCGCCCTTACTGCCCCTCGAGCCGCCCTCTACGGCCTCGCTTAGGCCGCTTACGGCCCCGTCGCGGCCTCGCTACGGCCCCGCTTAGACCCCGCTACGGCCC